ATGTAAGTATGTATGTATGCATGTATCGCATTTTACTGTTATCGTATCTTGCGCTATACTACATGTTTGATTTGTGTTATACTATACTACACCGCCGAAGGAAAGCTGCAGGCCGGGGCTCCGTGGCTATCGGAATCATCCGAGCTGCTAGAGGTGTCGGGGCCTGGAGCCGGGTGAGGTTCATTGCATTACATACCGTTTCTTATACCACATATACCAGAACAAAAAATACGATATCACCGCATATAACATAGTATAACACGGTACAATCAGTAAAATGCAAAATCTTAAAATCCAATATGGCAAAATGATATAATATACAGTCGGATTTCGACGATTGGTCCGAGAATGTTTGGCCGTCGTTTCAAGGCTGCCACTTATTCGTGAAGTAACAAGTAGGTGTATCTTCATCTCATTAGCAGTGATCCCTCGGCTTCTACCCAATATAATCCAAGAAGAACAAACAACATACAGAATCAGCGAGGCTCTGCAGCGGGGGCAAAGGCACAGTGTCAGGACACGAAGACAGGCTGCACCAAGTATGCAAGGCATACAAGAAACAATTAGTTTAACAAACTCTCTACTAAGTTCGGTTTAGGGTTTAGGGTTTAGGGTTTAGGGCTTAGTTAACTGTGAAAACCTTGAAAAGTAGTAAAAGCCTGTGCGGAGACTGCCGTGGGGCCCGCCTCTGCAACTGCGCGGCAAGATGTACGTAGGTGTGTTTTGGGTTCAAATTACGCACGTTTTAGAACACCCAGGAACACTGCCATTGTTTGAGCCACCACTCCGCATCCAAAAACCGGCTGCTCGTTAGCTTTATTCATTATCTGGAGGGCCTGAGCTGACTTTTTAGAGATTTGTCTGAAGTCCCGATCATAAGAGTTCACGACCCCTTTTTGAGTTCGGGCTCTGCTGCCTGCATCAGAACTCTTCTTGCCCGGACTTTGCCTGTGCCAGCCTTCTATGCCAAATAAAAACATCAGAAAACTTCTCAAGCTTCCCCGGCCTTGGCTCCGGTCATGAAGCCGCCCATCCGGCCCATGTGCCTCGTGCCTCACCTCGAGCCGAATTGTGCGCCTGGGTTAGTGGAGAGGAGGTCATGCACATCCACTTTCAACCTGAAGTATTCCGAGGGTCCCATTGACTACTTTGCGGTGGAACTTGTTCGCCCTTTAATGCACATGCTGGCTGAAAAGTGCAATCAACTTAATCAGACCAGACTTCCGCAACTCTCGGGAACTCCACTTACTGGGAATCCCACAAGCCTCCAACCTAAACCCCAACACCCTCGAACCCTAGGCCCCTAGACACAAACTTTGACAGCTGAGCCCTAATACGCAACCTTTGTCCAATCCCTGAGCCTACAATATAATCTAGTATACAAATTTTATTATTATACTTTTTATACAGTTTTTTAATATTTATTATAGTATGTTGTCCCATGTGTTTCTTCTGACTGCGGCTGTGGCTCATCTCTCCCGGGCCGACTGTGACTACCACGACGGGCTTTCGGAAGAAGCGCCCAAAATGATGCCTTGTTGATTAACGGTGGGGTCTTAGGGCTTCTTCGACCTTACCGTGTCTTGCCTTAAACTTTGTCCACTGCATACTTCCGAATCCTGTCGTATGTCAGTTGGTGCTATAAACTATGATACAAGCTATCCGTGCATTCGGACATATTGGGGCTTGCGGGTTGCTTCGTTGTTTCGTCTAGAGCATCCCCAAAAGGATTACGCATGCGCTGCTCGAGTCTGACTCAGTGTCGAGAGGGGGGAATCTTGGCAAAGATAATCATTGTCCCGTTGAGGATTGCCTTACAGTCGCACTTGGCGGCTAATGTCGCATGCCGCCCTACCCTATACCTACAAATGGTACAGTCTAATCATACTACAGCGATGCTTTCACTACGACTATTTATTCTACAAGTAAAGTTTAATTAGCGGCGAATGCATGCCGCCCTGCCATACACCTACAATTGCTACAGTCTACTCACTCTACAATCACCACTTGCTCTACAAGCAAAGTTAAGCGGCGAATGTCGCATGCTGCCCTACCATAGACCTACAATTGCTACAGTCTCGTCACCCTACAACGACTATATACTCTACAAGTAAAGTTTAGTGGCGAATGTCGAATGCCGCTCTATACCCTACACCTACAGTTCCTACAGTCTCGTCACGCCACAACGACTACCTACCCTACAAGTAAAGTTTAGCGGCGAATGTCGCATGCCGCCCTACACTACATCTACAAGTGCTACAGTCTCGTGACTCCACAACGACTCCTTACTCTGCAAGTAAAGTTTAGCGGCGAATGTCCCGTGCCGCCCTACGCTACACCTACAATTGCTACAGGCCAACCACCCTACAACGACTATGTACTTTACAAATAAAGTTTAGCGCCGAACGTCGAATGTCGCCCTACACTACACCTACCATTGCTACAGTCTCGTCACACCACAGCGACTACTTACTCTAGAAGTAAAGTTTAGCGGCGAATGTCGCATTCCGCCCTACCCCCGACCTACACTTGAACTTAAACTTAAGCAGCGCTCCAACCCACAAGCGCTCACCAAATCCTTGTTCTTGTCCGTTGAGGGCTTAGGGGTTTGGGGCGGTCGGGTTTTAGGCTGGGTCGTGGTTTAGGGGTTAGAGTGTTGGCTCTTAGTCTCAGGGTGGGGTCCGGCTTCAAGGTGTCGATACCTCGATGCCACGCTTCTCGACTTGCATGTGTGTGTGTGTGTGTTTCATACTTGCGCCAGGGCCTCAGTGAGCAAGGGGGCCGAACACGAACCGACCAACCCCAAAGTAAAATTGCTAAGCTAACATCAGTCCAAAAATCTGTTCAACTCGTTGGTTGCCACTTTTCTGAAAGGTTCAGTACATCAGCCATGTTGTATGGATCTGACAGCCCAGTACGCTACCGACACAATTTCCCGAAATACGTGAACGGATTTGGACATTGAGCTGCATCTTTATTCTTGATAATGATAGTCTTTGCCTGTCTGCATACCATACCACTATATAGTATCATGGTATTTCTACGATCACGATTGTGGTCGCTAGTGCTTTTTCTGAGGAACTATTTTCTCGTAGTTATATCGATTTAGGCTCACGGCTTCGTCTACCAAACCCAGCCCGCTCCAAGACCAGAAAATGTTGCGCTTCGTTGCTTCCGGCCTTTATGTTGTGAGGGGCTAACGGTTTAGGGGATCTTGGTGCCACCGAGTGACGTAGCACCTTGGCTGGAAGAGGTGCTTGATAGCATGTGGGACATAATCCTAACGATTCAACTAGCCGAAGTTTGCTGCTCGAACCATTAACGCTGGACCGAGTCCTAACTGTTTGCACAGGTAAGTTCTACGTGTCACAGCCAGGCAAGGCATAGAGCATGAATCCGTAAAATTCAGTGTTTCGTCTTTCCACTTTGACGCTCACCTAGAACCGGTAAGGGCGAGAGTCCAGGGCATGCCAAGGGGCTTCCACCAACTCCAGCTCCTAGGTAGAAAAAGCGCAGGGTGACCTCGACCTAAGAGAGGGACGGCCAGGCAAGTGCACTACCACATACAGAGCCGCCATCGCCCACCCGGTATGCCCTGAATTTCCCCACGATAGTTCTCAGATGCAGCGTGCAGTATAACTTTGCAGTGTATCTTGGGTAATCCATGATCTTGTACTTCTGCCGGGTCAACAAGAACACTGCTCTGGCTCGCTCGTCTGTCTCTCTTCCTATGCTAGCACTGGTGCTTCATGCAATCCTGATAAAGCGCTGTCGACACTGCTGCCGTTGCTCCGTGAAAACTTGCTGCTATTCCTCGTCAGCTGTGCTGCTAGCCTGTAGTAAAGTATTGCACGGAGTAGGCCTGCTTCCAACATTCCGGGCTTTCCATGTTTCTGCTGAGCAACCGCATCCTTGTTGGACGCACGGATCGTGGACACGCGGACCCGGGATGGAGCGGCGACAGGTGACGCCAGGTTGGGAGCAGCTGGCTCTTCCTTGAGGGGTGCAGAGCTACTGCAGGAATGCTCGAGGCCCCAGTG